CCCCCCCAGCCGCCAGGCCCTTTCCTGCAAGATGGTCGTGGAGTACGACAAGTTCATTGAGTCCGGCAGAAAGTAAGCGGTGCCCGGGGCTGCCACGGGGGACAGCGGGGCTGTGGGGTGGGGGACGTGGTGTAGGCAGAGGCTGTTGGCATTTCTGGGGCCATACCGCAGCATATAGGGTCTGGGAGTTTGCCCTGGCCCCGCCTGACACTGCTGAGACACTGCTGACACCACAGGTGGTTCTGCCACGTGGACGATGACAACTATGTGAACGTGCGGATGCTGGTGAAGCTGCTCTCCAGCTACCCCCACACGCAGGACATCTACATCGGGAAGCCCAGCCTGGACCGGCCCATCCAGGCTACGGAGAGGATCAGTGAGAACAAGATGGTGAGGAGGGGGTGAGAGGTTGGGGCTGGCTTAATTTGGGCTGGGGTTTGCTCTCCAGTTGGTGGCAGGAGGTCTCACTGCCCTTGCTTCCCCTCTCTCGCAGCACCCTGTGCATTTCTGGTTTGCCACGGGCGGAGCAGGGTTTTGCATCAGCCGGGGGCTGGCGCTGAAGATGAGCCCATGGGCCAGGTAAGAGCATTGGTGTTGCTCCCTCATGGGGACTCATCATGGTCCCAGCAGGGCACAAAGCAGCAGCAACATCTTTGGGGATGGACGTTGGACTGTGTCCTACCACCTTGTTCTCCTTGCCTTGGTGGGGGTTTCTGCAGGGGGCTCAGAAACAAGCTGGGAAGGACCTCAGTTCCCCCAGCTCTAATTGACTTTTAATTAGAGCTAGAGGTGGGCACCCACTGACCAAGACCAGACTCCATGGAGTGCCCACATCCCCCCCAGGCTCTGCTCCTCTGCAGCTCCTCTCTGTCTCCCTGCAGTGGGGGCCACTTCATGAGCACAGCGGAGAAGATCCGCCTGCCTGACGACTGCACCATCAGCCCCATCGGCTACATCATTGAGTCTGTGCTGGGGGTGAAGCTCATCCGGAGCAACCTCTTCCACTCGCACCTGGAGAATCTCCACCAGGTGCCCAAGACGGAGATCCACAAACAGGTATCCCTGTCCTGATGCCCTGGGATGGGTGGAGGGGTTGGGATGGATGATATCATCAGCTGGTTTCATGATGTCACCTAAAAATGAGGCATTGCAGCTGAGATATTGATTGACTTGCTTCCAAACCCTCAGTGGAGGGGGAAAGCCCCATCGCCCATCCCTGTGGGGTGATGCAGAGCCTGACCAGAAGCTGTGGGAAAAGGGGTGAATTTTGCAGCCCCCCCCAAGCCCCTGCTTGATCCTCTTGGCCACATCAGCTGCTTGACCCCCTGTGTTTCCTCTCCCAGGTGACATTAAGCTACGGCATGTTCGAAAACAAACGCAACTCCATCCACATGAAGGGAGCCTTCTCTGTTGAAGAGGACCCGTCCAGGTGAGGTGGGGGGACCCTCTCCCTCCTGAGTTGGGGTGCCGCTGGACCACCACCGCCCCGTGCTCAGCATCGCTCCTCTGCCCACAGGTTCCGCTCCGTGCACTGCCTGCTGTACCCCGACACGCCGTGGTGCCCCGCCAACGTGGTTTACTAGGAGATGCGTGTCCCTTCCAACCTCGTCCCGAATTTCCCTGGTATCCGACGGGCGTGC